TGACCGTTTTATGTTTATTTTCTTGAGTTACAGTACGATATCACTGCACAGTTAACACATATTATACCCACATATTTTTAACGTATTTAGTATAATCCTAAATTCTGCTTCAGGTTGAACAAAAACCCTTTTATGTACAGACTTCAACGACAAAAAAAACGAATACCATCAACTAAATTTTACAACAAATCACTTCTGACCCCAGAACTATGACGATCATTTTTTTTCTTTCTTTCTTACAAGCACACCCAGTCCCTCCAAGATCGACGAAATTATTCCTTGTTGTGGTTGTAGAATCCCTGGCCAGACTTCACGCCCATTTTTCCTTCTTCGACCAATTTGGCAAGGATTTTTGGGTATCTGTACATGGATTCCTCCGGGTAATCCCTCATCCAGCCTGAGGACAAACGCAGAAGGGTCAGTTGTTAAAGGAATACATCTGGGTTATTACATTTTTTTTATACCAGCGTCTACTGGCTTCAAAGCATAAAACGCTGAATAACTAGCTAGTAAATTTGTAACGAAAGGGAATAAAGTTAATTAGGACACATTATAGTAATAACTGGTTACCATGCTGTTTACATTAATACATAGTAACTGGTTAAATCAATGTATATGTTGCATAAATACGTGTCAGTACACGTTGAGATGAACCATTCCACGCATTTCATACTCGCATGCAAAATGAGTGAAGTGTAAAAAAAATTCTGTGCAATATCACTGAAACGTTGCATCAATGTCTCATGGAGCAGGAATAGTAAAGTCCAAGATACTAATAATAATAGGCAACATATCTACCTCCCAAATGCTATTGATACACTATGAACAGATTTATTTTAAAAAAGCGTTTGCGATGAAGTATAAAAGCATATAATATTGCATGTTTCATGGACATAATCCGAATACGTAAAATGCACAAAATTTAGATATGTAACGTATTGTTTACTGAAACTCAAATTAAGTGATGTGGTGACTGACGAAACAACTTAAGGGAAAGCATGAGAAGGCGAAACCTAAATTGTAAATACTTACATTAGCTGGAAAAAGAATAAGATGTAGAATGTAAAAATCGAAGAATACAACACTGTTCTGTCGCATTACTTCAATAATAATAAAATATTTATGTATCGACACCGGCTGTTGTTGCTTGGGTAAGCAATTAACTTATCATAATTATGTTTACTTATCATAATTTACTTATCCAAATTAGGGCAATATAACACATACGTAATAAATACAAATACAATGACATTTTCAATAAACCAATCGACAAACAACAGCTGAAAATACATTTCTCTTCGGTCTGCCATTCACTCCGTTTCTACCGCAAGATCCAAACACTCACCATCGCCAATAAACTTAAGAGTGTCCAGACCAACGTAGTCGCTCAGCTCAAGTGGGCCCATGGGATAGCCGGTCCCAAGCTTCATGGCAATGTCGATGTCTTCTTTGAAGGCGTCACCTGGCATAGTAAAAAGGTTGTTTTTGTAGCAAATCAGTATTCATACCGCAACACTGAATTGTAAATCTAACAGATCTCTGTCTTCATCCAAGGATTTTATCATCGGAGAACCCCGTGTATTAGAGGAACAAATAATAGTCGATGAACATTCTTCCGTACCTCGCTCCACCATGGCCATGGCTTCGAATAGGTATGGAACAAGGAGATGGTTCACAACGAAGCCTGGAGTGTCCTTGCACTGGATGCTCACTTTGCCCATGTTCTTTCCCCATTCCTTCATGGCCTCGAAGGTGGCGTTGCTGGTCTCAGGAATACGAATGATCTGATGGAAAAAAACATACAGTGAGAAAGCTATTCAATGTTGCCTTCAAACTTATTTTCTTCGAAACAGCTATTTTTTTTACCAGCTACAGTTTCTATTTTTATATGTATTCTTTACTTGTAGATTATTTCCATGAAACCAAATTGATGAAAAATAATTAATGTATCGTCATTAATAACGAAGTATCATATATGAAAGTTGCAAGCGTATGATAGGGTTTCTTTCCCCACTCCCACATATAAAGCATTACTACTGCTACTACTACAACTACACACACAAACACATACCTTATACACTGGTAGATTAACATTTTCTAGTCCTTAGTATGCACGATTTTTTTTCTAAATATTCTGTAAAAAAGTGGGGAAGTAATGTATAGCAGTACATAGAAGCAATTGTAAATATTCCTCTAAAACCAAAAACTAGGATATTTGTTTGCCTCGCATGCTAGGCTTTCACGTGTTTAAGCGGAGCGTGCAAATTAACTTGTCTTCAGTTTTATTCCCTAGGGTACATGTTTCCCTTAGACTGAAAGCATCTATATCTGATGGTATCCAACTACAGTGGAGACCGATCATGTGCTGTTCTAAAACGAATCAAGAACGACCTTTGATTAAAATTGAAAACGAAAAGCTGTGACACGCACTGATTCACATCACATAAGCCTGTGCGTGAAATTGGCAGCCGGAATTTTAACCGACTCGCAGGCAGAAAAAAACGATCTTTTAAACCAGATTTCACAATTATTTATAGAAAAGCTAAAGCGGAAGTGTCTTCGTGTTGACTTTATTTCGCTTCAGACATCAGGGTCGCATATTGATTATATATAAAGATAAATATAACTTTAGATATAAATACACACACACACACACACACAAACAAACACACAAACACACGCACAAACGCACACACGTACACACACGCACACACACACACACACACACACACACACACACACACACACACACACACACACACACACACACACACACACACACACACACACACACACACACAATTTGTGATCAGAAAAACGAAATTCCCCTTTAATCACTTAAAACCGCGCCCAGGTGTCTTTCTTCATAAAATTTACTATCTACTATTGATGTAATAATGTACCTCCATTATGTGACACAAGAGAGGCCGAGAGAGCTGTCGATTTTGAAATAGACGTCAACATTATTTGTGATTTTGCCATTAAAAAGTACGAAAACGGTTTGTTTTTTATATAAATTGTTTATGTTATTGAAATCAGTATAGTAATGATACTAAAAGTGAGTATCTATTTGAAAACTATTAGAATTCATCTCCAACACCATCAAGGCCCACGAAGTAAGAACGAAAATATTTTCTTTGGGATGAAAATATGTAAGTATTTATATAGAGCTATCCCGGTCAGGGTCTGTGTTCGTGTGTATGTGTGTGTGTGTGTGTGTGTGTGTGTGTGTGTGTGTGTGTGTGTGTGTGTGTGTGTGTGTGTGTGTGTGTGTGTGTGTGTGTGTGTGTGTGTGTGTGTGTGTGTGTGTGTGCGCGCGTGAGCTTATGTGTGGTTTGCGTGCTACCGGCTGACTTGCCTGTTTGAAGATATCTGGTAGTTGCAGATGATTTTTAGTGATGTTTCCTTTGAAAGAAAACTACTTGATATTTTCCTATTCATTGACGACAAAAATTAGACAAACAAATATTTCTGTTGCATATCTTTGCAAACCCCGTGTATGTATGTAAACATCCATGTGCGTGAACGTATGCATGAACAATAGTGTATATGCATGTATATGCGTTGCGTGTATATGTGCGTGTATGTGCAGTGCAATAGTGCATTAGCAATTATGCATATGCATATGTGCGTGTGCAGTGCAATTGCGTGTACATGGCTGGGTATGTGTATAAGGCTACTGCATAATTATCACGGAAGAAATATCCATCGCGTCATCAGAAAATTTACTGAAAATGTGCGTTTCGTAGATGTGTCATCTTTCACCTGCACCTATTATTCTAATAGTGAAATGTACATTTTCACAAGAGGACTTAAAATAATTATAAACATTATGGTCAATCTATGGTCATTAGCGGCGCATTCAAAAATACAGCGAAGCCCCCAAGTATAGCATTATGATAAAAGTATTATGGCGAAAAGGGTAAAATATGTTAACGATTAGTATAAGTGGACAGAAGGGGATGGAGAAGAGAAGGAAAAGGAAAGGGGGAGAAGAAAAGACCCTGATAAATTAGTTATGGCGAGGGTTGAGGTCCAAGGCAGGGGGGTGGTCCCCTACATTGGGCCTCAGCCTCCGTCTCGGACTCTCCCCCCCCACACTACCACCACACACACGACACCAACGAGCATGGGATTGGGGGGGGAGGGGATGATTGTAATCATTAGGTTTATATTCAAACCTCGATTGGTTTATTTTCTTACTAGGATTTACTTATTAGTGTGCGAATGGTTTACGTTTTATCACTTAACATCATAATAATGGTTAATGGTTTAAGCAAATAAATGTGTTAGACATCAAAGGTTATATAGCACTATGGTTAAGTACTGTGGTAAAAGGGATTTGAACACTTTCTTTTCTAGAACAAAATGGGTCAGGTTTTAACGGTCATATAGCATTATACGATAGTATTTATTTATCAACTGAAAATTTTCTGCAACATCTAAGGTCATTATCAGCTTATTCGGAATATAGTGATAAGTCATGTGGCGCTATTGTTAATTAGAGTTGCAAAAAGGGTTAGGAACGAGTTAATGATTAGGGTAGAAGTTATAGAATGAACAGTACTAGTGGGTGATGTGGTAGTGAAAAGGGTAGAGAAGGGGAAATGATGGGGTATAGTATAAGGTAATGGTTGTTAGAAGGGGAAGGAGTTAAGGGAGTAGGAAGCATTATGATGAAGTAGTGTGGCGAAAATGGCAAGAAATAGTTTAACGATTAGGATAAGTGGACAGAACTATGGGATGAAGAAAAGGAAAAGGAGAGGAGGAGGAGAAAAGACCTTGCAAAGCCAGGGTGACCCCGTGCTCCTCGTCTCCTAAGCCCTCCCACGAGAACAACGAACAAGGGAATGGGGGGGGGGGTATAGGATAGTTGAATCATAATTAATGGTAAGTTTTTACATAATGAAAGACTTTATATGGGACAGATATTTTTATTTACTGAAAATTTTCAGACACATCTAAGATCATTAGCGGCATAGCAAAATATAATGATAGGGTGGGGTTTGGGGGCGAAGCCCCGAGGTAAAGGATATTTTTGTTCAGTATAGCGATGCTTGTCGATTTCCAGAATAGTTAATGGTCAAAACAAATAAGTGTCAGACATGTCATATACTGCACCATTATGATAAAGTATTGTGGCGAAAAGGGTAAAAATGAATTATTTGGCTAAGTAGACAGAAGGGGATGAAGAAGAGAAGGAAAAGGAAAGGAGAAAATATGTAATAAATACATGCATTGTATCGACGTCTGAAAGCTCATTATATTCTTAATACTAAAATGCAATAACTATTATTTTGTGTACAGCAATGCAATGCCATGGTATACAAATTACTGTTCACCTTGTAATTTATTTGTAAACTTTCTGGCGAGAATCAGTGGGAAGGCGAACCCACAGAAACATGTATAATCTGTAAGTAGTTTGTGTTGATTTGGCATCCTACTATTACAAAATGCTGTCAAGTTACCTGGTCAAAAATTACCAGGCCATAAAATACAAATGGCTTTGTAAAACATATTAAAGGCATTTGAGATCAGTGATACTGGAAACCACGGATTTGAAAGGGAAATGTAAACAGATTGCATTTTTTTTCAGACAATGCAATTTGTTAAATTTTGATTAAGATGTTTATTTGTTCTGTTGCAATCCCTGACTAAAGGCATTAATAAGTTTATGGCTTTGACATCATTAGCTCTTTTCACATCCATATGAAAAGGGACATTCTGGTTGAATCAAGACACTCAGTAGAAAATATCTTTTTAATTTTTAAAAGTACAAATACATTATTAACAATATTGCATTGATGTGCATATAGATCTTACAAGAAAAAATATTAATATTCTGTACAGATTCAAGACTATTAGAATTGCATGAAAAATGCATAACAGAATATTCCTTCTTCAGTATTATGGACAACTTCAAATGAGTGTTCATCCTGCCTCCTTACATCACTCATTTGAAAATTTCTGGGTGTGGCTAGTCTTGCTTTTTTTTACTTCTTGTAAGTGTAAAAACCTTCTCCAGACTTTACACCCAGCTTGCCGTCCGCAACCATCTTGTTCAAAAGTTCAGAAGGCTGGTAGAGTGGGTTATCTGGGTATTCCTTAGCCCAACCTAAAATGAAGAAATAAAATATCATCAGTAGGGTTTTCAATAAATTTACTAGAACTTTTTTATATCATATTTCATTGCATTAAAAAAAATCACTGCACTTGAAAGCAATATCCATTCCTCTGTTAATTTTGGCCCAGTAAAGTTGGCAACATGTCAAACAGAACTGCTTGGGAGTTCCACTAATTATTATTATAAAAAAAAAATAATCATTATCCCTCAAAATCAAAACTGAGAAAACAACATTCATCTCTACCTGTCTTATCTATAAAAGCTAAGAAATTCAAAGGTCACTTAATCATGGGCATACTTACTGCCGCTCTTGGTAACCCACCAAATAAAGCCCTCTAAAATAAGCTATATATAGAGAGCATCAAGGAAATCTTCACCCACCACTAAGGGCATACTAATTGTCTTGCAATGGGTTTGTAAATATTAAGTGAAGTTCGTGAAGAGACAGGAAATTCATCTCTCAAGGTTGGTGCAAAAAAATTATCAATTCCAGTACTCATTGGGAAAACTACTTTTATCAATTATTCAATGCCTCTTCCCCCTTAGTGCCACTTCCACTTCTCAGGTCAGTTTTTAGTAGATAGGGGCATAGCTGCTAATCTGCCTTTCTGGCACTAAGTCCTCGCCACAAATGGATAAGGAGCAGCAGTATCATATTCCCTTAGATGTTTTTGATGAATAAACGTATTATAATGGTATGTAAATATATATGTTTCTATCCCCTTCCACCCTCAAAGGAAAGAAACAACAATCTGCATATCTGATGTAATTTTTCTGTATGCCCATAAATATTTATTCAGCTATAAATAAATAATGAGTGACTAAAAACAATTTTCTTTGCCTAACAACAATTTTTGCAATACACTAAGGAATTCAAACAATACACTAAGGAATTCAAACAAGGGGCAAGACAGACTTATTACCTACAAGTAAAGGGTAATGCATAAGGCCATGGACTTTCAATTCAGTGCCTGAAGCAGTCCTCTTCCTACATGTATTGAAAATCCCTTCCTAGCCTCCAGCAAATGCAAGGTGCCACAAGATATGTTACTATCACCTCAAGAATAAAACAGAATAATAAAAGAATAACAGATTGCAGATCAGCTAACATAGTAATCTTCATTCTTGATGAACTTCAAAGGGTATACCAAGTCCAATATCAACTTCCTTTTGCTACTAAAGGAAATGATGAACACCTTAAATTAACAAATGAGGCCAACATTGAAAGCTAGTACAACAGAGCCTACAGTTTGTTGTGTCCTTACCATCAATAATGAACTTTCCAGTGTCAAGACCAACGTAATCCATGAGCTCAAATGGTCCCATGGGGTAGCCAGCACCAAGCTTCATTGCAACATCAATATCTCTGGCACTTGCATCTCCTGCAATTAAATGTATGTTGTCCATTACATAAAAACAAATTATTATATATTATTCCAATTTATTCATTCATAAAACACTTACACCTTTTGATGTCACAAATACTATGGCCAGAAATTATGGCAACACTGAACTATATAAACACTTGGAATGAAGGGTAGAAGTTTATGGCAGTCTTTCAAGGACATGCATATATCAGTGCCATTAAATGCTTGGGCAATTGTCCAGCTCACATTTGGGAACCTAATAACTGGGCTTATACATGATAGTGTCCACTATCAATCACTGCTGAAGGGTTAATGAATATATTTTTGAACAATAAACCTAATCATTCTCTTAAGAAGAGGATGTGTGCACCAGGAATGTCAAATAAGGATTAAAACACATCAATCAACAAGCTTTACCTCTCTCCAGCATCCTAACAGATTCAAACATATAAGGCACCAGCAAGCGGTTGACAATGAATCCAGGCGTGTCTTTGCATTCAACGGTCACTTTGCCCATGTTCTTTCCCCATGCACACATGGCTTCATATGTGTTCTGAGAGGTTTCTGGGATCCGCACCACCTGTAAGAGTTACATGAAGTTAAAATCAGGATACTTTAAATTCCAACAGACTATATCAAATTATCAGGTAATCAGATGTACTTACGACTAGGTCTTTAACGTCAAGGAAAAAGTGTTCTGTGGCAAACCTACCTTCACTGTCTTTTTTGTTTCTAGACCATGAGAGTTATTTTTCCCCTGTGAAACTACATTTTAAATTCCTTTTTGTCTTCTCATTTTTTCAATATCCCGATTTTGGAAAAGCATACTTTTTCTCATAAACCTAATGACAGCCACAAAATCCTACTGCATTTATAATAAGTCTTAATACTTTCACATATCATATCTTCTTTCTGGCAACTGGCTTTGTGGGAACTGAACATAGCCAATACAATAAAGAATGAAGACTGTAGAATATAATGCAAAACCACTTTCTTTTATTTAGATTTCAGTAATTCTTCTGCTGTAATTAGATTTACATTAAAGCCCATATTTTATCTCTCCACATTTCTGTTAGCTGAATATATCTACCTATCTTTGTTAAACAAATCAACAAACCTTAATCTGCATTTAATTTTACTTTGCCTTAGGCAAAGGACATACAAGACAGGTAGCTCCACTTCAATTTAGCCTACTGAACAAACATGATATGGACTGTTTCCCCTTGAGTATTCCAACAGTTATTTATTGTAGTATGGAACACCATTTCATAAATAAAAAGAGTAGAATTTTTGTTTTACTTCTGGAAATTATAACAATCTCAAGTAGACAGCATGAACAGCATCTTGCTATATCAGAAATCTAATGGCACACCCTGATTGGCAATGCCTTCATTAGTTCCTCCCCAGTTTTGCCCCAGTCAATCTATGAGATTATCTACAGTAAGTGTTTCTTCAGTATATTCTCTTTGAAAATAAGAACAGTAAAAAAAAATATTGGAAAACAAACCAAGAAAAAGCAAAAAACAAGAAATCTTTTTCATATTTGAAATGAATGAAGCTGAAGGGGCAGGGCTTAGCTCAGCAGTTGCAATCTGGGCTTTTCAAGGCAGAGTGGAGAAACCTGTCTTGGGAGTACTTTGGCCTTGATACTATTTTCAATATACAATTGCAAGCATACCAAGTGTGTAAACACTGATTTGTAAATTCCATGTGAGACTTATAAAAACTGAACATTTTATAACCTTCAAATCCTGTCGGTTCAGGAATAGAAGCCAATTTCCTACATCTCCAAAATTCAACTAACTATATGATTACTCCATCTTTTTTTCCTTTAAATTAGTGACCTTAAGATTAAGCAATTATTATAGTTCGACTTAAATATTGCAAATAAAATAACAAATAACTCACCTTTTCACTTCACAACTGCAAACTCCTCTTCCTTTGGTGCAAAAGGCTATCTTAGCGTGCTTTCAAAATGTTCATTCCGCATGCAAAGCTAGACTCTGGTAATCACTACCACAGTGAATGTAGACCATCAAACTGGTTCATGACTAAACTGTTTTCCTTCTTTCCTTCTTGAGCAAGTTGAATACATAATAAAAGTAACTGTGTCCATAAGTATATGTGTGTGTATATATATGCACACATCACATGTGCATTTGACGTTAAAAAAGAAAGGACAATAATAGAAAAAAATATATATATATATGGCACTCAAAGTAAACTTCTTAAAAAAAGTGCCTAGTCTATATCCACATAAATAATTCTGGACACTGGACAATATGACAATACAGATGTAGCCCAATAAATGATTAAGTAGTTCAACACATCAATACCCAATTCTATAGACAAGATTTACCAACATGTTTACAGATTTAACCAGACAGAAGTAACTGAACCAACTTCATCATCAATTCACTGTGGAACAAACCAAATTGCTAAAATGTTTCTTACCTTGACAGCTCCATTGTACTTCTTCGACCTTAATTTAAATTTTTAAAAAATCTTACCAAAGAAAAACCATACCCAATGCACATTTACCATTTAACCCATTGCCGCCGGGGATGGCATGTACGTACATGCCATGCCCACTGTGAGTCGACTTGTTCGATTGTTTTTACACATAGATGGCTACACTTGTACTAAGTATCCAGTGAGCCAATTACAGTACTGCCTGCCTCGCCCGTTCGCCCTTTTCATCAATTTACGAAAATATTTAACGTTATCCTAATTTGCTGTTCAAAATAACACCATCTATATTTATAGCACTAGTAAGAATACGTTTTTTCCCAATTCAAGGAAAGGTGAAATCAGGACTAGCAGAGCCATCTATGGACAGAGATATTATACAGAAATATAAAAAATGAGTACTGCATTTCCCCCATTTTTTGTTCATTTTCCCCGGCGGCAATGGGTTAAGGTTTTATATTTTTTCCTATATATTGATACAAAAAAATATTGCTATTTTTCAAATCAAAATATCTTTTACTCAAGATCCACATTAATAACCACTAGAACACAAGCAAGAATCCCACAATGAAAACCCTTACTGATTCAGGGCAAAAGTGTAATACCTCCAAGAGCTTCATCACTGGCACAGGGTTGAAGAAATGCAGGCCTCCAAATCTGTCCTTCCTATCTGTAACCTCAGCAATCTTGCCAATAGGAAGGGACGAGGTATTGGATGCAAAAATGGTGTGCTCTGGAGCAGCCTGGAAAAAGGCAAAGTTACTCATGTAAACCAAATTCCTTATCAATGCAAGAACCAATGCAATCAATATGAATATGCCTATGTGTATCACATATCACAAAGAGATTCAATATAAGATTTATGGGAAACTAACCTGATCTAGTTCCTTAAACAACTTCTGCTTGACCCCAATGTTCTCCACAATAGCCTCCACAACCAAGTCAGCCGAGCCCACAGAGGCAACTGGGTCCGTGGAAGTGCTCAGGCGGCTAATTGCCTCTGAGATGAACTTGGTTGCCTCGCCTTCATCGCTACTGAACTTCTTCTTGGCAACCCTTTGAATGGATGCTGCAATTCTCTTTTCAGCCTTATCCACAGCCGCCTTGTCAATATCAACCATGGTCACCGTGTGGCCAGTCTGGGCTGCCACCTGATGAGAGATGTTAAAAAATGAACTTACCACTTGAATATCAAGCCAAAAAGAGACTGTACAAAGCATAATATTTCAAAACAAAATGCAAGTTGTTATTCATAAATAACTATGATCTACTTTCAAAGATATGACTGCACAAATAAAGCAAAGTGATTAATTTGTTAATTAGTTATATCTTCCATATAATATAACTGGTTTATCTATATATTTTGAAATGATAAGTAACATTAAAAGTACAAATAGAATATCAAATTAGATCCAATACCAGTGGTCCCAAAACTTTCAGTGATGGTATCGAAAATTTGCATGTCCTCCTTGTGATACTCATCTTTTAAGCCACTACCCTACATGAATTTACATTTTCAGCAGAGGTCATCATCTCTGTTCAGTAGATTTCCATGACTCAAAAGTAAAATAAACATGTTCAAATAACAAATAAAACTTACTGTTAATCTTTACAGTATGGACACACAAAGGTTGGGCAAAGTGAGGCTTAATCTGCAGGCATGGACAGTAACACCACAAATGAAGGAAAAAGCTCGCAGAAAGCACCACTCAGTCTGTTCAGTCCTCCCAAGTCTCAGCTTTATCATGCCATGCATACCATGGTGAAGACTGTCAGGGGGTGTTGGGGGTATGGAGCCCCCCCCTCAACCCTCCCCTCCGGCAGTCAGGCACAAAAATTCACAGGCACTTTGGCTGTTAAATAAATTTTATGAAGCGGAGTTGGGGACTTGTCTCTGGTGAGTGCATCCATACTGTAAAGAATAACCAAACTTGCTAGAAAACTGAGAATAAAGTCTAATACAAACTAATGGTTAACAAGACAAGCTAAGGCAAATTTTTAAAATCCTAATTCATACAATTTCCTTTGAGAGATACTCTACTTAGGATATACTATAATTGGAGCCATATGCCACAAATCAACTTAAATCCCTATTTCATTTTGGAGTCATGAGGCACTCCTGGGTGCCACCCTTGGTTCCCGATTTGAGATCCTGTTTTATCAACTCCTTATAAAACAAGCCTAAACCCAACTTAATTAGTCATTTTATTCCTCATATTCTTATATGATCACATCCTAAAATCTGATATTTGGTATCATTATCCGTGAGCCTATCATATATGCTGTGGAGTCTTGCAGAGAGTCACTATGACACGCGATTTCTTTCGAGACAGAAGGAAGCTTTAGGAGATACAAGGCATAAAACCTCTGGGCAATTACCAAGCTCATTCACACTTTCTCGTATTTTTACTTTACTGCCAAGCTTTGCATAGCAACACTTGACTGCAACAGAACTCGTTAGGCCTACCTAGAGTATCAAGAAAGTTAATTTATTCAATACCGTTCTTAACTTTAGCATCATTTACACGTCTCATTAAAACTCACTCAATAGAACATACAATCTACCCAACCCTTCTCCCTAAAGCCAAAACCGAAGAGAAAATAAAAGCGATATCAGCATTATTTCGCCTCGTCACTCCTGCTCCACCGGCTAAACTCCGTCTCTCAATTTCTATTTTAAAAAATTCTCCACTATTCTTCACCTGAGCGATGCCTGCGCCCATCAAGCCGCTCCCGATGACGGTAACATTCTTAATTGCAGCTGCCATTCTCGCCGAGTTGGAGAAAGTCCTAGTGGTGAGAGCCGTGAAGAAAGACATTTTTTTGCTGCTTATGAGGAGAGCAAAGGAGTCAAGTGTTGCCAACGACGCGACTAAACCACGACTGTGAGGGCGAGGGAGCAAAAGTGTTGCCAAGTCGCCTCTAACTCGGGGTCTTCCCTTTCTGCTTCTGCAATTTCAATACCTATTTATATTCCTTACTTATTTTTCAATACTTATACATTCTCAATACTCATTTCAATACTTATTTACAATTTTATACGTATTCGGGCTTCTGTGCATATATATATATATATATATATATATATATATATATATATATATATATATATATATATATATATATGTGTATATATGTGTGTGTGTGTGTGTGTTTTATTTCTATTTAATTTACCTTTTCTTCTGGAGAAATTGTTAACGGGGAATCTTTGTTCTAGTGTTTCGTTTTGTCATATTTTATTATCAGTTGGCACTGCGCTACCAAAAAAAAAAAAAAAAAAAAAAAAAAAAAAAAAAAAACTACAGAGCTGACGGCATTCTTGTCAAAAAATACATAAATACGATGGTAACCTTCCAATGATATATATAATTTCAATGAACATGAAAGGAAAATACACAAATCGAGGTATATTTGTATTTAAACATGAGACAACCGAGTACATTGCAATTTCAATACTATAATGCTATATGAATAATAGACCTATCCTAATTCACGATATTTTTTTTTTTGGGGGGGGTAGCGAATTACTTCTCTAAGTGACTTATGCAGCTACTCTTAACTTTTCAATTATACAGGGAAAAGAAAGGATTGCCATTTCTTTCAACAAAAGGATTCGCAATTACTCATATGAACATGAATTTCTATTAAATTGAATAAGTCCAAACGTTAAGATTTTTAATGAACAACTGAAGGAACAATTAATGATTTTTTAAAGGTAAATTATTTACATATTCCTAGATAGGCTGACTGTGAAACAGAAAATAATCTGCATCAATAATCGTTGAGAAGACAATTATTAAATAATTTAATGTGGATATCTATCAATATGATAAGCATCCTTCCATGCAAATAACTAACACTAATGTGCCCTTGTTTTCGCTACTTTAACAATTTAAAAAATCTACAAAATAAGGAACTTATAATTTCATCAAATAGTACAGAGTACATATAAATAAAAAAAAAACGAATAACTAAAGAGTAGTATTTCATATTCAGAGAAAAAAGGCCGCCTACATCTTACGGAGACTGTTTTCTGTCTCTGAAATTAAGGTTCCTAATATAATATATATATTAATCAATCTTAATTACTTCCCGATATGTATCTATTATTGTCAAGCTTTTTTATAAGAATATTACACGCTTACAATTTCGTTGTATGGAAATCTTTATTTGTATGATAATGACCAAAAACTGCAACTCTCTTCATCAATAAAATAATTTCGCTTCACGTAATGAGCGAAAATATACGAAAGTGCGAGAAATCTTCGCAATTTTGTGTCCGTGCGCTTGCTCTCGCTATCTTTAAATCATATCGCTTGTTTATCACGACTTAGAGATAGGGACAGCCGGCATTTATATATATCATATACAGTCTATAAATCTGGATAGATAACAGTGCAGAGAGACGGATGTAATCATTTACAAGGCCTCACGAGTAGTGATAAGGAAGCATTTATTCTCCTCACGAAGCGCGATCTATTTTGACAGTATGGAAAGTATTTAATAGTACTTGGTGACCTTTAATGTTACCGATGTCTTAATCAAATAATGCTGTTCAAAGCTCATCGGCTGCGAATGAAAGCTGATGAAATATAGGAAACGACAAATACGCATGCCACTTTTTAAAATGTTTCATTCAGTAAGGAATAAACTGGCACCATAAGATATATTTACAAGCAAAATATCTACATAAAGTCTCAGGTCTCGCTCACACACAGATCCTTCCGTTGTCTGCAAATGCTCATAGATTAAGCCTTATTAGTTACCAGCCCCTGATCAGTACATATTTTGCATGTTACGAATTTCTCCCAGATGATTTAATCCCTGGAAATCTATATGCAATGCAAGGGCAGTGTACCGCAGGCTTTCAAAATAGCTGGGCACAGGATTGCAACTAGAGACGAAACAACTGTAATTATGAATGACTTAAGTAAATGCTTCTGTTTTAATCCATCCTTTTTGTCAAACCTGTAATAAAGGAAATGCGACCTTACTTCTACTGATGTTTTGAATGATCTCGGCTTCAATTTAATATCGAGT